ATAAGAAATTAACTTGAACCATATACCATTTCTGTATACCACATCGAACGCCTTTTTAAAATCTACAAAAGCTATATACATTTTCTTCTTTTCATAATTCAATATTCTACTTATAATACTATTCAAAACAAAAATGCAATCAACAGTGCTTTTTCCTTTACTAAAACCAAATTGACATTCATCTAATACATTTACATTTTGCGACCACTTTCTTAGTCTGTTATCTAATATGATTGAAAATACTTTTGAAAAAATACTTGTAAGGGTAATACCTCTATAATTATTTATATTAGTCAGGTCCCCTTTTTTAATATTAGGTACAGGCACCACAATACCTTTAGTCCAACTTTCTGGATATATACATTTTGAATACATGTGGTTAAATAATTTACATAATAATGGTGAAATAATGTGTTTACAATCTATAAAAAGTTCAGGTGTAAGAAGATCATCCCCACTACTTTTGCCTTTTTTAAGAGAAGTAATTGCCCTTTCAATTTCTTCAATTGAAAAATCTACATCTAATTCATCAACTAAAATATCGTCTGATTCCGAATTATTTATATTATCTTCTACATCCCTATCAGTAAAAATATCCCTGTCACCGTACAAATCTTTAAAATGTTCATAAAATTGATCTTTACTTATTTTAGACCCTTTTGGATTACTTGACTTAAGTTTTTTAATCTCAGACCAAAATTTTTGAGGACTATTTTTCGCTAAATTATGAAGTTTATCTTTCTGTCTATTTTTGTATTGTACTATCGCTCTTCGTTTTGTCTGTTTATATCGTCTTCGCCTTATAACTAGTAAGTCTCTATTATCTGTAGACATACATATTTTATAATTTCTATTTGCATTACGTAATTCTTTTCTTGCAACTTCACATTCATTGTTAAACCAAGGATTTTTACCTTTACGTTCATTATTCTTAAAACTATGTACAATTTTTCTCGTACCAAAAACAGAACGAGCATTGTCATATAAACACTGAGCTATATCATCTATACCTGTATCAAAATCTATATCAGACGATATTATATTATTCACCATTACATCTATACGATTATATTCAATATCCATAATATCTCTAAACTCTTGAGCTTTGTCTTCATCATACTTCAACTTTACACCGGAACCAACACGCTCATTTTCAGATGGATTCAACATACATTTTGCTTTAAAACATACTTGTAACGGTACATGTGTTGAAAATGTATATAAATCGTGAACAATGAAATTGCTAATAAATGGAAATAAATCACACGTGCATAACACATAGTCTATCAGGCTATTACCGTTTTGGTTTAAATTTGTAAAACTTCCTATTCCAGCATCGTCTCCACAACGACCATTGACAATTTTTAATGTACTATTAGCACAAATATCTAAAAGTTTTATACCAGAGGTATTAACACATTCATCCATTGTAAACCTATGTGGCAAGTCACATAAAGTATATTCAATATCTCTATTCATAACATGTATATATTTATTAAAATTCGACTCATTATTCAAGTAATCGTTTCTGTTACCACATCTAGCATTTAAATCTCCGATAACTGAAACTGAACCAATTTCAGAATATTTTCGAACATTTTCTTCTAAACTTTCGAAAAATCCCAATTCGTGCATATTAAAGTATACTGAATTATTTGGAGGAATATATAAGAAACATATATAAAGATCCTCCGATAAATGAAAAAATATCTTACAAAACTTTACCCATAAAATTCCTGATTTATCAATATCTACAACATTCATACCAGGCTTCATGTTTTCTTTGATAAATAAACAAATACCACCGTGACCTCTACGAGAAGACAAACTTTCGTTACGAGGTACAAATACTGACTCATACCCATCTATTTCAAAAGAATCATTTTTACGTTGCCATGTTTCGGAAAAAAACAGAACATCAAAATTACACACAAAATTTAGGAACTCGACGTCACTTAAACAGTTTTTCAGACCTTCAATATTCCAAGACAAAATATTCAAGTCATACTTTTCTCCGGTCTCCTAGTCTGTATCATGTGGTTCCGCTCCAGTAGTCGGCGCGTACAGCTGATTGTTGATAAAGAGCTTATCCCGGACCAAAACTGCTTTCTTGCCGTCTTTCCTGGCTTTCAGCATCTCCGGGATAAGGGAACGTCTACGTTCCATTATCTCGGGTGGTAACTGTTCTGTCACGTTATACGGTGAGCTTTTGAAATTGAAACCTTTCAAGTGATTCTTGACGGCTTGGACAGACTGCTTATCTTTAAAGCGTACAACGATGGGTCGTATTTTGTCATAAGCAGGTGCACCAACTCTGTGCGCAACATCGATGTCGAATTGCAATTGGGGATCGGAGATATTCAAGATTTTAGCGAAAAAGTCATGTACTTTCTCTACACAGTTCTCAATGTTAGAACTTGCTGCTTGAGAATTAATCGTCTGTTCGGGATTTCCGGAATCGCTCTGAGTCATAAGCCCGGAGGACCCAGAAACTACCTCAGATATGAGCAGCCCTGGTTTTACGTGACCGCCAAGAAGCGTGTTTGTAGAGATAGAAGACGGTGCAGGCACACTGGACTGTGAAAGGTTGGGATATTGGGTGGGGATCTGCGCGCTGCCTTCCGGAATACCATGGAATAACATATTTAGACTCATTGAACGGCATTTCATATCAATGATGTTTTCATTAAGTTTATCATTTGAGATTTTGAGATTCACATTTTCAGTAGCTAATTTAGAAACGTCGCTTTGCAACTTTGTAATTTTGTCCGTGTTTATTTTTGTAGACGTAGATATATTGTCATAGCCGTTACTAAGAAATTCAACGCTTTTTTCAAAGGCTTTTATTTTCTCATCCATGCTATCAACCCGCAAGGTCATGGTTTTAATTGATGCCTGAATAGAGTTCAATTGTGTAAGTTTACTATCCATTGTATCCAATCTACCAAGAATATTCTGGAGCAATTCATACGTTTGATTTTGTTGCGGCTGTATTATACTACATGTAGGTGAGGTATTCATATTTGTGTTTAAGTTCGTATATGTAGGTGTATATGGATAACTTGGATTCATTGTGAACGTACCATTTAATCCAGGAGAAACGGAACCAATTTGTTGTGTTTGCTGCCCAGTTGATTGATCAGCGTTCATGGTTTGAGGATCATATGACGGTGTTGAGAATGTACCGTTATTGGTCAATCGTTTAGCTGGTGTATCAGTCACGGAATTAGGCGATGACTGGGATTTCGTCCGTTTCTTGTTTTTGTTAGGCATGATCCGTATAATCCATACAATTGATCATTATTATAATATAGTGAGCGAAGTTCATTACAATAGTATAACAATGCAATGACCGTTCCCCCACAGGCAATATCGGAAAAATGGTTAAAAATTCAAATCAATTGAAGTCTATTTATATCTATTGTTCTCGAGATAAAACAAAATACCGTCTTAATTAATATCCAAATGTAAATCCAATGTATTGCAACATCTGTAGAATTCCATTACGAGCATTTCGGTATAAAATTTATAGTAACTTTTTGGTTTAGAAACATATTTTAATCCAGTTTTTCAAGAGCACTCGTGAAACACGTCTTTACCATACCATACATAACATTATTATAACATTACATAAGATAGTCCACATTATATCCGACAGGATAAAAAAAACAACAGGAAAATCTGGCAGAAAGGCTGACGATGTTTCATTTAAGAAATGCTATAGCTTTAGAAAAAAATATATTGTTCGTGTACAATACATTGGAAGCAAAAAAAAACAACAAAGTATTTACTAATTGTATGTTTGCGTTTAAAAATACAATGTTGTCACTTAAATATAGCGTTAAATTACAGGGTAAAAAGCTGCTATGTAAGATGAATTTAATTGGTTTATAAAATTTGGTGTCCGGCTCTAAAGAGGTAGTTATGTTTGAAGCTCAAAGCTAACCTAGATGGACTTGGCGTTTTATGTTATATGCTATCATAATCATACATATTGAAACACTTATTTAATGTAATGTAATGGCGAGTCGATTAATGTGCTAGTTTCGTGGAACAAGAAATACGGTGTATCTACGAAACTGAGATTTAAATATTCTTGAATGTAACAGTTTTGCTACACGTCTAACATATACATTTGTATATCTTGTTTTATATCTTTAGAAATTTCTTTTTTCGTCTTAAAATATCTTAATTATTCATGACATCGTTTTTGCTTATGTGACTTGTTACCAACCTCCGCTAAAGCCTCCCTCGCTACCAACCTCCGCAAAAGCCTCGCTACCAACCTCCGCTAATATATCTTATAATATATCGTGCATGTATCGTATTGATTAAGGATCGCTTGATTATCGTCATTTTTACTTTGAGAAATCATCTGCTTTATGTCCGCAAAATGAGTTGATATTTAAATTTCCCTTAATTCCAAATGGATTGTTTCATATACGTATACATTTCGCAGAATAAAGTTAAATTGCTGTGTTCCAGGAAAAATAAATACAGTGCCGACGATATGACTTGCAGACGATATAATTTATTTATTTTATTTATTAATTTATTTATTTATTTATTTATTTATTTATTTTTCAACTTTATTCGGATAACAAGGAACAGTTCATCGTCGGATAACCATGGCCGACGTATTAATATTTATTAGCCGTCGGATTTTTGGCCGATATCTAGTCGGTTAGAGGTGTGTCAAAGACATCTTCATTTACTTCATTGGTTGTCTCACGATTTAACTATAGGTGATAAAAACCAACCAAAACGCTCGTTTTATACGAGGTTCGGTATTACAGACAAAACTGCGGCACTTTTTGCTGTACATCGACGCAAATGGATTCATTTTAGCCATGGATTTATTTCATGTTTAATCATTGGTATCCGACGAGGATACTTGTCTTAATGTGGGCGTAGGTCAACATTATTTACCTTGGAGAAAGTAAGGACAATATTATAACTATCTTAAGACTTTTAAAAAGAACAACAACAGACTATATATAATGCTTTAAGAATCATTTAATTGCTCTTTCAAAGTCGATCAGTCCATTGGTTATGTCAAATAGGTGAAGTCAGTCGGCCAGAAAAACATTATTATTTCAGATCTATCATGTTGCATTCTTTCCGGTTGCTATGCGACAACAATAATTACTGTTGGAGCACTTATAGTTTTGTCCACAATCATCATCATTGACGCAAACTATATATTCTCCGTTTAACTTCTTCGGCTTAGATGATCTTCTCGAGATAGGAAAGCAGTCGAGACCTTAAAAGAAAAGATATGAAATTCAATTTTGATGATATTGAAAATCCATAAGAAAACTTAACTATCCAAAAGATATGGCAACAAGTTTATTATCTTTGCCATTTTTTTTGTTGTCAATTTAATGACAATGCTTAAATGGGATATATACGTGTATCCCTACAAGTCCGACTTTTTGCTGTCAAGACTGATGTAACAAATGTTATCCAGTATAAGAATATACCGGTGAAATATACTGTTTAGAACTTTTGTTTTTATCGAGATACAAAGAACCGCTTTAGAGTGGATTAAGACAGTATAATTTCTTACGTCTGCAGACAAAGTTCAGCCCGCCTGGGCAAATCCACTGTCCGTTATTACTAACAACCCTTATATTATCGTTTGGACAAATACATGCACTGCCTTCTTCTGGAGGACCACATGGCTAGACGTATGAAGTGGAACATAAATAATTTGACCACTTTACATGTGATCTTGATTAGTAATACAGTTAGCTGGCAAATTTGTATTTCTACCACGGGAACATAGATATTTTAAATAGTCGTTATACAATATTAATCGTGAAAACTGTTTCAAAACATTTAATATTGAATATCCTGTGTACAACATTCATCGGCTGCCATTTTCATTTGATTTTACTGCCCGCGAATTTATAATATATTGACAGCCCCGCTTTGTAGGAGCACATTTGTCTCGGAGCACATTTGTCTCACGAAGTGTGACCGATGTGTTCGTCAACATTCATATTTGCGACAAATTGGAAATGAGACAGATGTGTTCGACACACAATAGAAAGGACACTCGAAGCACATTTGTCTCACATTTTTCCATAAAATTCTTAAAAGGTAATAATTATGCCCGTCCGTTTACCGGCAACCAGCCATTGTTCTGTGTTTTCTGTATTTATAAAACAGTTTTTAGGTCACTTCCGGTCAGTCAAAAACTTCCTGCCTCTGCATAGGAGTCATATATTAAATTAAAGAATATCCCTGTTCTGCATGTCACAATGAAAATTTCTACAAGTGCAGCATCCAGAACCTAAACACATATGCAGCAAGTCTATTGTTTTCGTTATCAATTGTGATACGTTTATTTTCAATGCTTAAAGTTTTATAAATGATTTATGGCACTAGAAATGTTCTTAGCAAAAACAAGGTAGTATCTACGATGGCATAAAGGGGACATACAATTTTCTTATTTATAATAGCTTTTACATGGCCACGCGATACTATTACGTGCGCACGCGATAGCTATGACGTACGCACGCGGATTGTATACTGACCGGGTTCCTCGCTAAATCCGATGAATAGTTCGATGCCCCGTGTATATATCGAACCTACAGCGGTTAAGGACAAGTGTTTTTTTTAACTCAATCGGCCACGGAGGCCCTTTAATGATCTATGGAAGAAAATAAGAAAACCATTACACACGTATTTTGTTTTCATCAGAAATATATGTATGAAAAATCGTCATTTTCCAAGAATTGCGGCTTTCAGATCCGCCTTTGAAAAAGCACTAACAACATGTATCAGTTCCTAAAATAATCCGGGGAATGCCATAATTATGGAATATCGGACCACTCAGAATCGTGCGAGACGCGACATTCCGATGAGACACGAAGCGAGGCACGATATTGTAACACGAGAGCGAGGCACGATATTGTAACACGAGATCTCGCAATGTCGAAGTATCCCGTACCACGATATTTCAGAAATGAAAAAAAAAATACTTCTTTGGATAGAGCAAGTATGAATTTATTAATATTCAAATAATGATTTCTAAAGGAGATAGATGCTTGTATACTAAAGAAATTCGCAATAAATGTGAAATAATGCTTCATAAAAGTAGCAAATGTAAATAATGTAGTATTTTGACTTCAATACAAAATTCTAAATCACTTCAACTGTACAAACTGCAAAAAAGCAGCAGATGAAAAATGCTTAAGGTAATTAGCCAATGAGTAACTTTTTTGGAGCTATAAAAGTATACCAAAAATACAAAGTTTTTAAGGAATACAAATCAAAGCATTTCTCAGGCATAATGGACTTTTAAGTGATTCTATGAAGACTATAAAGGGAAACTACTTAGCGGTATATGACCTGGAATCAATTTCTTGTCTCGCGTCGACGAACGAAATGCGAATCGGGACGCGAGATTTCGGCAAGATGCGAAACGAGTTCACGATATTGTATCATTCAATATCAACCGATTACGGTGTTCCGTTTGGACATAAGTAACATTTTTGACTCCCTGATCAGCTATGCGCAATGGTACAAAGGTGAAATTAAGGTACGATGACTAAAACACGATGATACGATTGGTCAAATCACGATGATGCGATGACACGACAGAGAAAATCATGTCACGTTTTCATCATCATGCCATCGCAGTTTCATCAAATCTTACCATCGTATTTTCGCCATCGTTAACATTCGTCGTTCACCATAGTATCATCACGATTTCATCATCGAACCTTCGTTGTTTTCACCATCGTACACGTTGTTTCACCATCGTACAGTCGTTGTTTCACGTTTTCGTACCATTGTGTTTTTCACACCGCACCCATCGCGTTTTCATCAACGTAACAATGTGCCACCGCCTGTCACCATTGTACCATCATGAACGGGATTTAGTATGTTTCAGTGTACGCCTTCACTCAGGTTTAGCCAATCAATTACTTTGAATTAGAGATATTATGATTAATAGTTCACTTTAGGTTTTTCAATAAAGAAAGCATAAGCAAAACCTATTGATAATTACACTTGACATGAGGTAAAACGGCGAACCTCGATTCTAAAAAAGAATTTCTGCCGAAAAATGTGAGATTTAATTCATAAAAAATGACATGAGACAAATGTGCTTTCTTGTCCCTTAAAAACACATGAGACAAATGTGCTTTCTTGTCCCTTAAAGAACTTGATCGGAGCACATTTGTCACACAAATGAGTTTTTTGGGGTAGATATTTGAGATCCCATTTGTCTCATGTGGGACAAATGCGACCGCATTGGTCTTACGTAAGACAAATGTGCTCCGAGACAAATGTGCTCCTACACCGCTTTGTTGTAAATTAATTAGATATAAGATCATTAAAGTACACCTTTTAAAAGTAGTTGTATCATTATATTATACTATAAAAAAAACGTTGCTCTTTTCCATTTATCATCCTTAGAAATAATCTTCAGTCAAGTTAACTTACATCTAGGAAAGATTTGTCGTTGCATACTTTATCGTCAGCGTTGACAATTTGGAAACTTGCCTGAATTTAAGATTAAAAAAAGACCTTAAAACATGCAGAACCAATAAACATAAGAATTTTGAATATTCAATTAATTTTCCTCGGCAATTATCTGTTCCATAATTAAATCTTATTGAACGTAACAAAACATAACAGTATACATAGCCGCATGCAAAACAACTTGACGATACTATGCTAGTCTGCTAGACAATAGCTAGTTATAGGTAGCCGGTTCGAATCAAACTTTTAATCTGTTATCTATTTATTAATCTACTTAATAATGTGCGTTCAAATCACACACGGTACGATTTCATTAAAATCAATGAATGAGAAAATGATAAATACAGTATCAACAATAGAATATTTACAACACAAAAGGCGATAAAGATAAATGTAGAAGTAAAATTTTGACAACAGAAATCGAAACGAAATTCAAATTCAAAATTAAAAGAACTCCACTGAGGTCCAAAAACATAAAAACATCTAATTTGAATTTCTTTCATAGATCAACTTGGGCAAATAAAACAAAAATATATGCAAAAGATTAATGTAGAATATACTCAGAATTGAATTAAAAAACGTATTTTTCTGCCACTCTTGGCTCGATTCGAATGAAAATCGTTAAAGTCATTTTTCGCATTAAAAGTAATTAGTCTGGAAGAACGGAGTGAGCAACTGATTTGAAATTTCGCACACAGGTTATTTATCTAGACCTACACCACATAGAACTTTAAATTGAACAATTATTTTCAGTCCTGTCATGTCAATAAACCTCAGTGGAATATTTTTAAACACTATTTATGATAATGCTAACGTTAAACAAACATACCAACATCAGCAGGACTATTACGCCAAGAACTTGGGCCATTCTTACAACAGATTGCACGGTAAAATTATGACTATAATAAAAAATGAAAACAAATATTAATGTTGCACCTCGTCCCTGCATTAATTATATTGAATGGAAGTAAATAAACATAGACCAAATAAGAAAAGGATTTGAAATATAAAATGATATTTAGGTACATGAATATTGGTTTACACAACCAATAAAAGAGAACGACATTTCAAAGTTGTAGCCACATTTATGATGTTTAGCAGCTGTTGAATAAGATGATGATTATGTTCAGTGTTTAAAACAGAGACTGTATTATATCGATATCAACTTGAAAATGTTTGTTAAAATTTGCCAAAAACATATTGTATATTTTAAAACTTTATTTCAATATAATTATGAAGAAGTTCGGTAAAGAATCACCAAGTTAAAACGCAGTATCATTAAAATTCAATGAACGTAAAAATAAATAAAATCACTTTGTCATATTTCTGAATAATTCTTTCTTGCTAAAAAGACGAAAATTGTACATAAATATTAAATAAAAAACGTAAAATTTTACCTTTAGTCCTAAAGTGAAGGAATCCAAACAAACAATAGATGTGGTATTGCTGTTAATAAAGAAGTAAACACAACCAGCTGTTGAATGTACACGTTGTCAAAGGTGTTGAAACCCCGATAATTTGTAAAATCGATGAAACAATGAAAAATTTAACCTAAATTACATTACATCGCTATAAACTTTTACAGATTAATAAAGTTACATGAGAACTCTTTAAAAAATTCCATGTTTTAAAATTCTTTTGAATCTGAGCCTTGCAGTCTTTTTTTTATCATAATTCACATGCGTGCTGCTAATAAAAACGTCAAGATTGTTATACCTAGTGCAAACTGTATTTTGAAGATTTAATTATATCATACAAAATTACGGAGCTTGAGCATACAAGATATGATTCTGTTTTGAAAAAAAACGGAATGTTGTTTTTCTTTTTTTTTATTTATTTATTTTTCTTTATTTATATTGTTGTTGTTTGTTTGTTTCTATTTTTCTTTTTCTTTAAGTTTTGTGTTTTTAGTAGTAGTTGTTGTTGTGTTTTTTTGGAGAGGGTGATTGTAATAAGAATGGTTGAATAAAATGAATAGAACAATGTTATCTTCATGTATATTGTCAGGGTGAATGACAATGAATAAAATTAAAATTGCGTCGAATGTCTAGAATCTGTTTTGAAAAAAAGGGATTGACTTTAAACAATTGAGCCGCGTCACGACAAAACCAACATAGTGGGTTTGCGACCAGCATGGATCCAGACCAGCCTGCGCATCCGCGCAGTCTGATCAGGATCCATGCTGTTCGCTGTCAGTTTCTCCACTTGTAATAGAGTTGCTAAGCGAACAGCATGGACCCTGATCAGACTGCGCGAATGCGCAGGCTTGTCTGAATCTATGCTGGTCGCAAACCCATTATGTTGGTTTTGTCATGACGCGGCTCATTTACCATAAAGTATGTCACCTAATGAATTGAAAATGATAATTCTTTAGATGTCTCATGGCTCATTCAAATTAAATATTTTACCTCCATATCTGTGTACCGCAAAATGTTGAAGTTCAAACATTTTTGAAAATGTTTCCGTTTAAACAGCTTGAATATATGATTAATATGATGACCCCGTTTGATAGTAAGACAGCATATGGATGATAATTAGTATACACGTATACTCTTGTTCTTGTTATAAAGTAAAATCAATGAAGAACAGTGGATAAAGTGAAATCAATGAAGAACAGTGGCTGATATTTTTTATTTAATATTAAAATAATACAAAAAGAATTATACAAAAAGAATATGTGTATAGCAAATGTATAAGCAAAACATTTAATCAATATATTTGATATAAGTCATTATTATTGCGCTTTTAATCATATAACAATAATGATATGTATATGACCATTAGAAAAATTTCTAAAGTAAGACAATTAGCTTGACAACACAGTCATATCGACATTCAATTCTATTAATCATTACCCGTGCCGTAAAAATGGTATTGCACAACCATGCGTGAATTCATTTGCATTATACCAACATATTTTAAAAACACGCTAAATGGACACGTCAATGGAAAAAAAAAAGATTATTTTTGAACTTTTAATCAGTATTTATTTTGGGTATGTGAAAAATAGAATATTATATTCGTGTATGTTCATTATTGAATTTATTGAAGTTGTTGAATAAAATAATAATAATATAATCATATTCAACTCGTTCAATAAATTCCGTATTTTACCTACACTTATTTAATATTCGGGATTCGAACCAGCAGCGGTGAGGGGAAAGTTTATTCAAGTAAACGAGCATAACCACTCGGGCACAGACGCCCCGAAGCAGGCATGATGCAGGCACCTATGTAAATAATTTTGACATTAAGTACACAGACACTTTAAGAATAAAAAATCATTCGATGGAACAATGGAAAACACACCAATTTGTTTAACATTGAACATAAGGTTCATGATGAAGCAAAATCTGTTTGAAGACACCTGACTTGTAAAGTGGGAAAGTTATAATAAATATGATCTTAAATACATTTTTACCTTTAGGGACGAACTTTCACTTAGTTTAAACAGTATTTTATTTATTAACATTACATTTACATAATAATTGACAAATAATAAATAGTACGGATTGAGTAGGAAGCATATATTATTGAAGGATTGAGTAGGAAGCATATATCATTGAAAAAGTTTATCAGGGAACATACCTATGCAATTTTCTATGAAATTGTGATGGATATATTTTTAAAACAATAACCTTTAAAATAATGAAAGAATAAAGTGTTTTGTTGTTTTTATTTATTTATTTATTTATTTATCTATCTATTTTATTTATTTATTTATTTATTTATATTTATTTTTTTTATTTTATTTATTTATTTAATCATTACTTTTATTTTATTTTCTTTCTTCATTCTCCTTTCTTTTTGTTTTTCCTACAAAATTTACTGTTACATTAGTATTATAACATAAGAGTTAAAACTTTCACAAAGTGTTTTAAAATAGACTTGTCTATCTCTTAATATGGATTAAACTATTCACTATTTTAGAGGAAAAATTTAAAATATGTACTGACTGAATAGCGAACAGTACTGACCATGATCAGACGACACGACTTTGGTCTGCACTAGTGCCATTAGAAGCATCTATTGCTGCGACAGCTGGCTAGAAATTAAAGCTGCCACATTTAATGAAACATGCAGAACCCTACAGCTTGTAGGTCTAACAATCAATTGCAGTTACCAAAAAAATGTTCCCGAACCGACATAATAATATTTCAAAGAAGGAATGAAATACGAAACCTCTGTTATCTGCGAAAATTATTAATCATTCATATTTGAAATGTCAAGCACAGCATTGACCTATGTATTTATATTTTATGATTGAATAAACGCCTTCTCACAAGACATTAAATATAATTATAATGATAACATAGCTTTTTGTTAAGTTTATGGAATTCGTTGAATAAAATATGTTTTGCTTGTCAGAGGCTTGTATAACATTATTTTTTACTCGTTCAATAAAATCAGTATTGAATTTACACTCGTGCAATATCCTCGTTTTATGTAGAAGCATTATATTTTCCATAACGTAGACAAAAAAATTTGAGCCGCGTCACGACAAAACCAACATAGTGCGTTTGCGACTAGCATGGATCCAGACCAGCCTACGCATCCACGCAGTCTGACCAGGATCCATGCTGTTCGCTATCAGTTTCTCTACTTGTAAAAGGGTTGGTAAGCGAACAGCATGGATGCGCAGGCTGGTCTGGATCCATGCTGGTCGCAAACCCATTATGTTGGTTTTGTCGTGACGCGGCTCAAATATTATTGCACTTCATCAATACGATCATTCAGTAGAATAATAAATACATGTATATGAATAATTGAATCATCTTTATTGTAATATTTCGAATTTGATACTAACTTGCAAAACATTTAAATCGATAATGTAAATTGTATAAATTTGTCATGGAAAAAACAAATACATTTTGTCCTGCGCATTGGACGTAAATTTCTAAACGTAAAATCTGTGGAATGAACGCTTCTCTTATAATGCCACATAATGCATTGTTCAAATATTAACAATTTAAAAGAGAGGAAATGTTTGAACACATTCAGTAAAAATCAATATGAAACAAAATTGGTGTTAAAATTTAGCCTTTACCTTGCGGAAAGCAATAGTGGTTACCCTTTGCCGACAAAATAGAGACCGATCATCCTGCGCTTCCATGCAATCTGACCTGGCTCTATAAGCAGGGCTGGCAATCAGTGCTGCGTCGTATCCCACAAAATTTAAACAAACGCCGCAATCTTGGAACAAAAAATTTTTTTTTTGTTTATTTCTCTTTTTTGTTGGAAATGGGTGAAAACCAGATATATTTATTAACCTACTCCACTATTTTCCGTTTCCTTCGGTATATATAGCTTGCCCAACCATTTTGTAATAAAAAAAAAACGTTATAGCGAACTTGTAACTCGAAGCGGGCTAGATCTTTTATGAAGTTATTTGGAAACGAGGCTGATTCCCAGCCCTGCTGACAAACTTTATATTATCATTTTGATACCTCGAATCGAAAACTGACATGGATATTAAATAAAGTTAGCATACTGAAGGACAGGAAACAAATAAATCTAAAATCGATTAGTTTGTCACAGATTCTGGTATTGAAATTTTATGCACATTGAACTTCTGGCTCTTGAAGGCATAGCATAAGTTTACATCATTAAACTTCTAGATGACATTGCCATACGTTATTCAAAATTAAAAGAATTCTTTAAAGTGAAAACTATCAAAATAAATATGAAGATGATTGCCGTGTTTGTTAGTGTAGCAGCATTATTAGCTCTTATTGAATCTGCAGTTGTTAAACATTTCGTAAATAAACAATGTGATAAAACTGATACATTTCTACAATTGTTTGGCACAAGTTTAGACGAATGTACTGAAGAATGTGACCGGCGTTCTAGATGTACATATATTATGTTCATGCAGAGAATGAATCACTGTAGCTTGAAGGATGTTAGCGGTGTTGGAGGTATCGCTAGTTATGTGAGTGGATTAAGTGGAAATGAACCGCTCTGTATGTTTCTTGAGAAAAAAGACTGGATATCGTCTGATCTTGGACCATGTAACGATAATAAATGCAACGGCACAGACAGGTGTGTATCATCGAAGCGAGATCCTAAAGACTTCTCATGTTTAAAGTCAACTTGTCCGTCGCCACCTTTTGTTGCGAATGCTTATCTGCTATCCGACATTCAAACAATAGGGTCTACCAATAGATACATGTGCAAAGATGGCTACAGGAGTTTTGGAACACCTTCGATTACATGTACCAGTAACGGAAAATGGGAAAAAAGAGTGTTTCGGTGTGAACCAATGTGTAAAACACCAAAATCAACATATGAAAATGCTGTGTTGTCCCGGATAGAATACAGTGGTAAAAGAGAAGTCATTCATTTCACGTGCAAGCAAAATTACCAGGCTTTAGGACCGACTGCGACGAGCACTTGCAGAAATGGTACATGGGCTTTTAATAGGGTTCGATGCTGTAAGAATGGAACCTATAACGAACCTTGGAATTATCGGTGTGTATTTCACACAGAACCTCTGGAAAACTTTGGTAAGTTTGGTAGATTTTGTAATATACAAAGAAAATAAAAGCGTGTAACTTGTGCAATACTATCTCACATGGAGATGAATATCATTACTTATTTAATTGTCAATTTGTTAATTCTGATTGAACTAAATACATAAACAGAAAGTATAGTACTAATGTCAATGTTTTCTATTTTTGATGAATAGCACAGATAGGAGTATATTGTTAAAACTTGCAGTATTATGTAAAACAAATATATTATCATTTAAGTAACTGAGCTTATTATCAACACTTACGTTTTGATTTATATACTAGTATACCATCTTGTACATAAGTATAAGATATTTTACTTTCTATGTATATTATTGTATGTATTACTGGTGCCTCTTAGCGTCCTGACATTTTCAATAAACTGCAACGGTAAACTGTTTTAAGTATAAAACTATTTTATGTCATCAAGACAGTTAACAACTTTAGGTTCATCTTAAAGTTGCGCATTTACTCAGATCTGTCCGGCATCTTCTTTTTATCACCACAGATGTATTGTAAATTCCGATCGGATTTTTCACATACCACAGACATATATCCGGAGCTATTCTCTACGTTATTTATTATGTAGTGAGTTCTAAATGACAGCTAAGCACTAATTTTATGTAAAAGGAACTAAAAATGCATCTGGGAGATCTTTTAGGTGATATTTTCTCGGAAATATTTTTGATAAAAAAGAACATTGCACACACAATTTGCATGGATATATTAATTCAACTATCGAATATTTTGCTTCCTCGTTCTGTGATATATATCAATCTTCAATTTTCATGTACCAGTTTTTCAAAGGCCCGAATTTCTCCAACGTTTTTATTTTGTTTTGACTTTAGATGTTCTTCCGACCACACTTCAAAATATGTTTTTTAACTTCTTATTTGTAAGTTTATCAAGAACTTTTATTTCGGCAGACTCTTCTGATGCACATGACTTAAAACCTTACAAAGCCGTATTATTGCTAATTCTACATCTTGCACTACAAGTAAACTTTCTATTTTATTGACGTCTTGTTTGACTGCCATTAAAACACATGTAATTAGATATTGTGATAAAGTCTATGAAAACACAGGCAAACATCTCTTTTGGTCAATTAAAAATTCTGGTGAAATTTTGGATAAATTCAAAATTAATAACTTTCAAGCTTCAACTGTCAGTACATACGATTTTTCTACACTTTAAACAACTTTGCCACATAAATTAATCAATGATAAACTAATTTCCCTAATTCAGAAAACTTTTGCACGGGAAAAAGTTACCTTTCTAGCATGTAATTCGAACAGAGCTTTTTTTACTAACGGTATTGTTAAACATTATACTATGTGGACCTGTGACGAAGTTTGTAGAGCACTCTCTTTTCATTTAGACAACATTTATGTCAGGTTTGATAATACCCTATTTAAACAGATCATAGGAATTCCTATGGGTACTAATTGTGCACCCCTGGTCGCCGATTTGTTTTTGTACTGCTATGAAAGAGACTTTATGTTGAGTCTCTCTGTAGAGAAACAACAAGATGTTATAGTCGCATTTAATAATACTTTCAGATACCTTGATGATATTTTTAATTTAGATAATCCTTATTTTGATCAAATGGTGTCTGACATTAATCCGCATGAACTACAACTTAATAAAACGAACTCTTGAAATTTTAGTTCATCATTTTTGGATCTTCATATTACTATCAACAACAATTCTATTCACACGAAAATTTATGATAAAAGAGATGACTTTGACTTTTGTATAGTTAATTATCCACATTTGGATGGAGACGTACCCTATGCGACATCCTACGGGGTTTATGTTTCTCAGTAAATTAGATTCGCTAGAGCTTGTTAACAACGTAAAGGATTTCAACGAGCGGAATGTTTTTATTACCAGCAAGCTTCTAAAACAAGGCTACCGCTATCATAAATTACGGAAATATTTTACTAAATTTTACAATCGTAACTTTGATTTAATTTCTAAATTCAATAGTGATTTAAAAACTCTTCTGCGACAAGGGATTAGCCAGCCTGGTTTTTATGGCGATGTGGTTTACAAACTTCGTAAGATTTTGGGTCATGGTAATTTTTCTGCTGTTTTTACTAAAATTATTAAACGTTTTATTAAAAGAGGTTATGACCCTACTATTTTAAGACATACTGCATGTTTAGTGTTCAACCCTTTTACAGTTGGACACTACGCTTTCCTCTTTTGATTGCATCTGACGGACCAAGTGGGAGACTCTATGATGGATAGTTCGTAAAGCCCTTTGGGACTGAATTGTCTTAATGTTCGTCTTCTGCCTTGCTTCGTCGGGCCCTTGTAGGTGATTTTCTTGTTGCTCTGTCTTCCTTTAGGACATTGAGTACTTTTGTTATGGTAATTGGGTTTACTTTTATATGTTTCTACATGATCATTTTAGTGTTTTACTTATTTAACCTTTTGTAACCATGACAACTGTTAGAATTTCACTTGGCGGGGATTCATTTTATTTACACTGTCTCGTTTATAGGAACATGGTGGGGCTAAGAGCGAGGTTTGGTGCACCATTAACCGGTTTAAACTCGGTTAGCAGTCATTATTATGCTGCTGACCGTTCCAAGGCGGCGCCCCACTGTGTTCCTCAGATGTATGTCTATGTTGTTTCATACTGTTTTGGTGACACTTTTGCTTGTGTCCCTTGTTGTTTTCTCGTCTACGGTAAGTATCTTTCCCATTGCCTCTAGTTTTTATTTCTTTGATTACCCCCCCCCCCCCTTCCCCCGGTCTCCTGTCCCCTTCCCTTTTGTGGGCCTATTATTATTTTCTTTGAATTCCTAATCAGTTACAAATTATTTATCATTTAATGATTAACGTGTCGTTGCCCTGTCCTTTTTATGTTTGGGGTCCGCCTGGGCTCCTTGCCATTGGTTCTTGTTGCTGGGTCATATGGGGGTTGCGTTCATTGAACGCCGCCTTTCCTTGTTGATCATGTTTTTCATATATTGTCATTTGAATTAAAGACTTAGGATTTCTGAGTGTGTGAAGAAAAAGTCAGTTAGTCTTAACCCATGCCCTCCTGGAGCCCTTATCGCCAAAAAAAGCCAGGATCGTAAACACTTCGGTGAAGTCTGGTCAGCACTAAACTGTGAACTTACTAACATTAGTTTTCATACTCCGCGAAAAATAAAGATTATGCATGTAGTTGCCGCATTATCACACTCACTTATTATGTTCGTCTGTCTGTATATCAGTCCGCAAATTCGGATCAACGTCCAATGATTTATTAACGTCATTCCGTCTATAATCTTATTTTAACAAGAGCCGTCGCCGGACGGGGGCAACGCTCGACTTTTAATTTTTTCTAAAAGCAAACAAAGAAACATTTGAACAAATCTTAACGTTCCCTTTTTTATAATTTTAATAGGTATGTCTTGTCACATAAGTGTTGGTACAGTATGAATCATTTGCATATATCCGCATGTATAAAGAAAAAAGATATATGTATAGTCATTTAATTCACAAATCAGTGAAAATTGAATAATTTAACCTTCAAGGTCTAGGTCATAAAAATGGCCAAGGTCAATTTGAGTTTGATAAACATAAAGGTCTTGTCCTTAAGAATGTTCTGTTATAATATGAAGTCAATCCATTCAATAACAGCAAAGTTACAGCCAAATACAGCCAAACAAATTAAAAAATTCAAGAATTTGACCTTCAAAATAGGGTCATTTATGAGTGATGGTCAATGTCTATCTAATTATTTTAAAGGGAGACACAGGCAAAATTTTCATGATTTAGTTTTGAATTCTTCATTCATTATTCTGTGAATGACCTCAAAATGAATATATTAGACAGTCAAAGGAACAAAACTTTACTCAGTATAAAGAATAAAATAGTGGTTTCCTAACTTGACCCGCGTGGGTCAGGTTAGACCGCTAGGATTTCACAATAGTTATCACAGTGAACTCTTATAACGTTAAAGAACATGTCAAATGAATGACTAAAACTTGTTTCAATAAAACAATATCCACAGTATCTGATATTGTCACTTCAAGGGTTTGTTCAAGTCACGTGCTGAAACTTTATGAAATGCCATCTTAGCGTGATTTGAGAACATAAGATCATTTTAATATTTTTGTCATTAATTTGCCTGAATAACCCTTTAAAGGTCTATCTTGATAGAATTATTATGTTCAAGTTTAAAGACAATCCATTCTAAAATAATAGAGTTACAGCCAATAATAGGAAGAACAAGCAAAAATTTGACATTTTACCTTGAAGGTCAATCCCATTTATGGATGAAGGTCAAGGTTATTGTGGTCTACTATAAGGGTTTTTGTGGCTAAGTATGAAGACAATACACCAAGAACTAAAAACGTTATGATTCAGGTACAAGTTTGCGGACGGCAACGCCGCAAGGACTACATGTATAACAATATGAAAGACATCAGTAAATAGATAAAGGTCTTATGAGCAAAAACGTATAACGTCTTTTTGTTATTTTAGCGCTGGTAACCGTGATATAAAGACTCCTTGCTTCGGTCAAAGTTATTAAAAGCATTATTCGAAATATATGATTTACAACAGTCAATAAATAAGGCATATTGTGTAAAACTCAGTTCTTAGCACATTTTACATTTTAATCAAAGTGGTCCATAACTTTATACACACTAGGTATGTTCCTAATATTAACGAAAGTAATCGGTCAATTACTGAATGCTGTATAATACAAATTGCAACAATTATTGAAAGTATTTAATAGGAGATATATAGACAAAAATCTAGTAAGGTAATTTAATATATTTGACACTTCGACTAATCTTTTGGACATATTACTGTGTTATGTTTTCATCAAATTGTGGACAAGCATTAACGAGTGAACATTTCCTCTTTTACATCGACGATTTATGTGGTTTCTTTCATTTTAGCTCGATTCTTTTTTTTAAAAAAGTAGAGGTATTGTTATTGTCCTTGCGCCGTTGCCGTCCGCAAACTTGTACCTGAATCATAAAGTTTTTAGTTCTCGGTGTATTGTCTTCATACTTGGCCACAAAACCCTTATAGCACTGTTTATTACCCTTCCAGATGTTTTCCGCCTTTTTGATTGGATATTGATTACCCGAAAGAAATTGATATAACCGAGCCAGACGGGTAATATACACATTAAATTTCCCCGTTGGGTACCCAACGTTGTAAACGACATGCGCTGAGATGATGCGCGTACGGTTCGATTTTACGCGGTGTAAATTCCGATTTACAAGCACTTTTTAACTGTCAAATGATAAATATTTACCAAAGTAGAGTAATGATACAAATTCCCATCCGTATTGAAAACAAATACGACCTTGTGAAAGCTTGATATTAATTACAAAAAAGTGCTTTCAATAGACTATCCTTTTCTCTCGTTTACATTCGTTAGGTGCGGGAAAAATACGTCATGTATTTATGTGACGTCATGTTGTGATGAAGAGGTACCCTAAAGGGAATCTTATTTCGACGTTTCATTTGAAACAGCAATGATTTTTTAAAAAATCGTCTAAACTCGACAGGGGAAGGGTAATAAAATTATTATTTTGGTTTTGGAGTGATATATGTGGATATATTACTGATAAAATATCACCCTCGCCTAACGGCTCGGGTGATATAAAATCTTAGCAGGTAATATATCCACATATATCACTCCAAAACCAAAATAACATATAATATTAGACCACAATAACCTTGACCTGTATCCATAAGGTCCTTCATGGTCAAATGTCCAAATTTTGCTTGTTCTTCCTATTATTGGCTGTAACTTTGTTATTTTAGAATGGATTGTCTTTAAACTTGAACATGATAATTTTCCAAGATAGACCTTTAAAATAATTAGATAGAATTTGACCATCACTCATAAATGACCTTGACTTTGAAGGTAAATTCTTGAAATTTTCAATTTGTTTGGCTGTATTTGGCTGTAACTTTGCTTTTAATGAATGGATTGACTTCATATTATAACAGAACATTCTTAAGCACAAGACCTTTATGTTTATCAAACTCAAATTGACCTTGGCCAGTTTTATGACCTGGACCTTGAAGGTTATATTATTCAATTTTTATCTGATTTGTGAATTAAATGACTACATATATATATATATATTTTTTTTTTTTCTTCTGTAATACACATGCGGATATATGCAAATGATTCATACTTTGACAAAACTTATTGGCAAGACAGACCTATCAAAATTATAAAAAGAGAATATTAAGATTTGTTCAAACGTTTCTTTGTTTGCTTTTAGAAAAATTAAAAAGTCGAACGTTGCCCCCGTCCGGTGGTGGCTCTTGTTAAAATAAGATTATAGACGGAATGACGTTAATAAATCATTGGACGTTGGTCCGAATTTGCGGACTGACATACAGAAAGACGGACGGAATGAGTGAGTGAGTGTGATAATACGGCAACTACATGCATAATTTTTATTTTTCGCGGAGTATGAAAATTATTGTTAGTAAGTTCACAGTTTAGTGCTGACCAGACTTCAGAGATGTGTATACGATCCTGGTTTTTTTCTGGCGGTAAGGGCTCCAGGAGGGCATGGATTAAGGCTTACTGACTTTTTCTTCACACTCAGAAATCCTTAATCTGTAAATTCAAATGACAAAGTCATATGCATCAGAAGAGTCTGCCGAAATAAAAGGTTTTGATATACTTACAAATAAGAAGTTAAAAAAACACATTTTATCGTGTTATCAGATGAACATAATTATAAAGTCAAGTCAAAATAAAAACCTTGGAGAAACTCGGGCATTTGAAAAAATGGTACATGAAATTTGAAAATTGATATATATTACAGAACGAGGAAGCAAAATATTTGATTGTTGAATTAACTTACCATGCAAATTTTTTGTGCAACGTCTTTTTTAACAAAAAATATTTCCGAGTGCATGAGATGCAATGCCTCAAATATTTTAAATTTATCGACATGTAAAAAAGGGAGATTAATAAGCAAAATTTAAGGAAGTGATCCTCTACAAAACTAGTAACTGTCACCCCCCCCCCCCCCACAGCCCCACCCCCATTTTATTATTATTATTATTATTATTATTATTATTATTATTATTATTATTATTATTATAACTATTATTATTATTATTATTATTATTATTATTATTTGATGTGTGAAATAATGGGAGATGTAGCCATATATTGAAACGGTGTACTTTGGTTTATTTTTATTTTGTTAATACGCATGTTCCTATTGAGCGACCAGGGTCTTTTAAATAGAATCGGAGCGAGTAGAGTCTCCGGACTGTTTGAAAGACCCTGTGTGAATTTTTAAACTTAAATAATGTTTAAAATCATTTAAATAAATCTATCTCAATTATCGTATAAATATCTAAAGAACCAGCTTATAATCCAAATTGTTGACATAAATTTAATGATAGCTTTGACCAGACATTTCTTAAACGTCTTAATTAAGTGTTATTGACGGAGGGAGGTTTACTCAACGGGTGTGTGTGTCTCGCTACCAAGTCGTTTTAATATTTTTCAACGTGAGTTAACCCAAGAACCGTCGTCTGTGAAAAAGCATAAACTTACAGCCTTAACTGAATTGTTTGTTTATTTTAGATCAGTTTGACGGGATATGTTCAGGTTACGGTAAGACTGGATTTGATGTACAGCTCTATAGATATTTGCTTGATAGTCACGGGGTCTATAACATATTGATGCCTCAGAAGAAACATTACTACAAGAGAATGAATAATTTAACTAAATGTTTTAAAAGTGAAAACATCTCGGTGGGAAATAGGACATTTGACGAGTTAATAAACTATGCTAGAAGTCTTAATATGACACGAGATGATTGCAAATCGGTCACGTGGTGGGCTCCTTCTGAGCCAAACGGCGGTACGGAAGAAAACTGCATTATGAGAAAAACCAACGAAACCGACTCTCCTCTCTACGATATACCATGCACTAACTTAACCGGCTTAGACATAAGAGGTGTTTGCCACTGGGCTTTGCCGGTTATATAACATGTAGAGGAGGTAAACTGCACAAGAGACCACTCGTTAAAAATATCTGCATTATATACATGTATATTACATCAAGTTTTGCTTTATATATTAAGATGTTTTGTTTTATTAATGAAAGATATAAGCAGGGTGAATTGGACAAAAACAAAAGGGCTGTCTTTTAAACGATCAAAGTAAAGATGAGAACCAGGTCTTTATTCTCGAGAAGCCATCAGGAGAGATTAAGGTACGAATGTCTGTGTTCAGATATTACTTAGGAAAAAGTTGCTTATGGATTTGTAGGGTTTTAGAGATAATAACCAAATAATATCAACTCAAGAAGAAAGTACGTCCGCCTGAATCCATATCATAGAAACTTTTTGGCAGAAATGTAAATATGAATAGATAATTAAGGATCACTATATAAAATGAGAATGCGTACAAAAGGCTTTGGAGTTATGGCCCATTTGTTTTAAAAAGGCACTTTTTAAAGAAGAATTGACATATTTTTTAAGAGATTGATTACGTTGTAACGAAACTTAGCAGACATATTTGAGCCACGTAACGACAAAACCAACATAATGCTGTTTGCTAACCTACCCTATTACAAGTAGAGAAACTGATAGCGAACAGCATGGATCCTGATCAGACTGCGCGGATGCGCAGGCTTGTCTGGATCTATGCCGGTCGCAAACCCATTATGATGGTTTTGTCATGGCGCGGCTCAATTGTTGATAAAAGTTCGGAAGGTATTGATGTTCAAATGTTTAAAATGTTTCTTATCTTATATGCAAATGATATTGTTATGTTTGCAAACAATTGTATTTAATTACAAGTAGTTTAGAAACATTCTACGAATTATGTAGCCTAGGATTCAGGCGTTGATATTTTTTGCTTAATCTTGATATACGCGCTACTTCATACTCGTTCGTGTTTTTGATAATTTTATTTGGTTTGCCGAAAAGACCGACATAAAAAAATTGACAGACAGGAACTTATGTTAAAAGTTGAAAATAGTTGTTAAAGTTACATTATGCCCGTCCAATAGCAAATGGTAAGTGCACAGGTAAAAGTCTAAATAACATAGCATTTTACCATAATTACGACCAGCTTTGTATTTTACTATGAACAATTCTATATTTTACAATAAATATAATCAATAACCTACGTGACCCACGGACAATTCTATAAGTAGTCGACATTTTTTTTAAATGTGACAGCCTTTACATATTTTAGATATTTTATAATTTATATATTCTTTATAAAACAATTTTTCATAATCAATAGTTGGTCAATAGCCATTATGATAGTCAATCTCTTGAAACGTATTACTAAAATAGATAAATACAGAATCCCTAAAGAAAGCCCAACACGGCAAAATTGAAAATGTTGCAGGCTCGGTTTGATTGAGCCTGTTCATGGACGGTACTGGGAAGTGCAAGTTACCCCACGCCCCCTAGCACCGGCTTAAGCAGAATTCAACATTTACACATGAAATAGTAAAATTTTGAATTTAGAAACATCCGCAGATGTGTTCATACAGCGGTTATCATGGAACCTTCAGTGTGGCACTTCCGTGCCATTCCATGAAAAGCGGCGTATGGTCCCCAGGTAATAAAAAGCCTGTGCCCTAAACGAGAAAACAATAGGCGGAACTAAATAAAATGGAATTTTGAAAGGGGATGGGAGGTTATGAAGCCTGCGTATCACATATAAGACGTCAAAAGACAAATTTAAAAAGCAGGCAACATATCCTAAGGGTGATTCAATATTATTCAAGTAGAAATATTGGAACCACCCAACTAGAAAATGCCGAAAAGTTGAAACTAAAAATACCATAAGCACAACAATAATGTCGTGCTGAACGATCTTCATGGATCGAAAATATAACATCATTGATTAAATGTACGGGGAGACTTTTTACAGCCGCCACACGGCAAAAATAACACGGATGTGATCATAGAATAGATAAATACAGAATCCCTAATTCAACTCAACTTGACAGTGAAAAAAATGAGCATAATATTTTATAATGACTATAACTGTGAAAAAAATACAGTGATGATTTTTCGCCAGACATGGTGTGAATCAAATCTTCATCAAATGTAATAATGCAAATTTTATAATGCTAATTTTGAACATTACCTATGCTTAAATACATTATTTTGCTCTTTTTTTACTTTGTTCACTAAAATGAATATGAAAAACATACCGATAATATTTTTAAATCTAATGTCATTGTTTATTTTATTTGCTCAAGCTATGAAATAATAAACTTGATAATAAAATACATATGTATGTTGACAATAAAATAAAGAGCTATGAAAAATTTCAGCATGTAGTAACAAAAATTTTGCCTTCAATAGGACCAATGCCAGTATGATGCAACAAAAAGCAGTAAATTATACATGTAGATAACAAAATAAGGGTTGTCACCTTCGGTTAGTGTGAAGAAAGTAAAATGAACTTCGATTAATTTTGTCTGAGTGGTGTCTCTTAAACATTTAAAACTTTGTGACAGTTCCTTTAGCGAACTTCAACACTATTTTGCCTATAAATCGTTCATTTTATATAAATATGGATGTGCAGGTTTCGAACTATGAATCTTAATTTTCCTATAGAGTAAGGTCGATATTTTAAAATTGAACGTGCTGATAGAATATCTAACTTATGTACAAAATATGTCTTGGAGACGAATTTCATTATCTTTCTGAATGCACACATTTTTCTAATGATATAAAGAATTAAATTCAAAGATAATCATTATGTTAACAACCCAAGCTCTCATAAAATAAAGAAACTTATAAATTGTAAAAATAAAAGTTAAATTATTAAACTTGCTTTATTTTGTAAGCTTTTATTACAAAGTTTTAAATAATCACTCATACTTCATAGTTAGACTGTATATGATAATTTAGATGTTACTTTTTATTCAGAGAATGTGTATATATAATTTACAATGTTTGATAAGTGTTTGCATGCACTTGTGCTATGAACCCTTAATCATGTTTTGGTTATCTTTTCTATATTCTTTGTAGTTTTAATCAGAGCATGTTATATAAATAAAACTTGTAACCAACATACGAAGTGTTCTCCTTTCACCAGTGGTCCATGACAAATAAAAAAAAAAACTTTATTTTTCAATTTCAAAAATAATATTCCCAACAGCAGCCATAATAATCAAAATGTTTCAACTAATTATAGTTCTTAGAAAAAAAAGAAGAGACAGAATACAAATGTGTATCACCATACACATTTATAAATAAGTTTTATTTTAAACTTTTATTCTTCCCTTTTTTCAAGTTCTCAAGAATGCTGCATACTTTTTGTCGAGGCCTTTTTTCAAAATAGCTTTAAAGGGCCTAGAATTTATCAAGTGCAACAGTGAAATTGATAGCAGATACTTTGTACTTTTAACTTGATTTTTTACTGTAAGTGATTACTTTTGTAAATATATATCATCATTTGACTTAAGTATTAATTTGCAGTTTACACGTGAATAAAATACTGCTTTAGGCAACACATTACTTTTTGTTATAATGCTTATTTAATGCATTACTTTTTGTTATAATGTAATAATGCTTATTCAATGCATTGCTTTTTGTATTATTCTTAATCAATGCATTACTTTTTGTAATGACGCTAATATAATGCATTACGTTTTGTAATAATGCTAATTTAATGCATTACTTTTTGTAATAATGCTAATTCAATGCATTACTTTTTGTATAATTCTAATTCAATGCATTACTTTTTGTAATGACGGTAATATAATGCATAACATTTTTGTAATTATGCTAATTTAATGCATTACTTTTGTAGTAATGATGATTTAATACCATTCGTTTGGAATAATGCTAATAAAATGTATCACTTTTTGTTTAAATGCTATTTTAATGCACTACTGTTTATTATAATGCTTATTTAATGCATTACTTTTTGTAATAATGCTTGATGCATTACTTTTTGTAATAATGCTAATTTGATACACTCCTTTTTGTAATAATGCTACTTTAATGCAATAACTTTTCAAAATACAGAAATACTTATGCTTTTTACTGCAAAAATTTGCTAAATGCTAATTTAATGAATTACTTTTAAAAGCAATTCTCTCCAAGTATTTTTTTTTCGCAATAGCAGTAATATTTCGTTAAGTTATAGTGGTAATCCTGTTAAAAATGTTGATAAGTTTACTTTCTTAGATAGTTTTTGTGTTTTTGTTATTAAGCTTAAAGTACACTTAATGGTCAGGCCATAAAGACAACTCTTAGGATATGTTGCTGTTATTTAAATTTAACTGTTTTGATCTGTAATGTGTTGTATTGTTTGTCTTTTATCTGTTTGTACAAAATAAAATATAGAATTAGAACTTTCATGTTTTACACAAACCCGAATATTGCCTTCACCCTCTTATTTTCAAAATTACATACATTTCATCACAGCCTTTGATGCATTACTATATTTAGAATGGTGGTATTGTGTTCAATAAGCATATCTTGTTCTATTTGAATGAAGGAAGCTTATCAATATATGGTCGACTTTTAAGTTAAAAAATAATAACCTTAACGTAGTATGTTTTTTGTTGCTCTGTGTCATTTTTACGCTTATTTGTATTTGCTCCCTTCATAAAAAAGATGGAAAATCACAAAATAACTTAGTTTACGTTTTATATTGTCAAAATAGTTTGATGTTTCAAAACTATATACTGTGATGTTTTTATTCTGGGTCAGAATATCGCTTTTCTATACGGCGGAAATAATGTTAATGCATAAAATATCTCAATTGGAAGTACAATTAGTTGGGACCAAGTTGTTAATACAGAATTTATTTAGTTTGATTGTGTAGAAAAGCCATATGGTAAAGACGTACTCTCGAAAACGTTTATCAAAACAAGTAGGATCGAGGTACTAACCAACGATTGAAGTTTCTTGATCAAGGAGAAAACGGTTTGTTTAACCGACGGACCGAACAATCCGTGATTACTAATCCGCTGCGTTTACCACCCATGACACGCTGAACATGTGCAGGTTTATTATTTGTGTGATACCTCATGGTGAATTATTATTAACAAATGGCATGATGCCGACTTTGACAAGACACCACA